GAAGTCAAGGTTAAGAATGTGATTATTCTTCTCCAATGGCCCACACCTGAACTGGCCATGGCAAATCTCTTTTGCCAGATTGCTTTAGGATTACTCCAAGATCAATGGCCGAATACACCGTCAACTGTGCTCTCATCACGAAATCAAGATTATTAATTCTCTATACAACACCGGCATTACAAATTCGAAATCGACACGGCTTAAAACTTGTTAACCTTTTTCTAATTGAAAAAGATTTACATTGAAACACTCTGACAGCGATAAAAAAAAAATGATACTAATACTGAGGACAGATAGAATGACACAAAATGAAGAGACAACACTATAAAGAAAGAGATGCCCATCGAAATTTAAATAATAAGGCTATTAGAAGAAACACACATGCTGTGTATATGTATATTTGAAAGATAACTAAGATAATTTTTATTTCATTTAAATTGTAATGTATTAGTTCATAATATTATCTTTCTCAATCATACAATCAAATAAGAGGTTTCCTCCCAAATTGTGTAGGAGGATTCCATGGATAACAAACATCAATTTCTTTGGAAGCTTCCATAAGCCTACAAGGACCATTTGGCAAGATATTCCAAATACACTTGTCGCAAAGATGGTCCCTGTATTGCACAAATATATCAAACCACTTAAATTGATCTGACCACGAAAAGCTACAAAACAATAACGTCCTCCCAAGGGCATGGGTATGGAATGTGAATCTCCAACCGCATGTTGTTATATCATAGATTCCGAGATCATTGTCCTTGGATTTGCAATGAACTGCTAGAGTAGTTCCGGCTGGCAAATGGTTATTGATCTCAACATATTTCTTGCCCCAAAAGTTTCCTGCACAACTAGCTAGGAAGAAAGAAAAAATAAATATGAGCTTAGCCAATGAATTCATCATCAGAAAAAATAACTATGAGCTTAGCTAATGAATTCATCATCGGTGCATATCATGGCTCCCATATTAACATCATTCAACTATTTAAGGATGGAGAATGGAGAACGGAGAATTTCTTATCTCGCGGTCTTGCCATGACCATATTACCTTTTATTTTTGTTCCTTTTTTCGCTTGGATAATAGTTGCCATACTCTTTTTATTTCTGTTCATTTCTTCCTTTTATCGAAGTTTCCTTTTTGGCAGATGCCATGCATTCACTGATCTTTGGGATAATAATTGGTATATTGCCTTTTTTTTTTCTTCTTTTATAGTCTAGGTAAGAATTTTCATATTACCTTTTATATTCTTTCCTTTATTTTTGTTCCTTTTATCGAAGTTTCCATTTTGGCAGCACATGCATTCACTGATCTTTAGTATAAGAATTGGTATATTACCTTTTTTTTTCCTTCTTTTATAGCCTGCGTAAGAATTTTCATATTACCTTTTGCTCTGGTATAAGAATTTCATATTACCTTTTATTTTTCTTCTTTTTTACTTTGGGATAAAAATTGCCCTAAAATCAGTTACAAATCAAGTAGAACATCCGATGTATAGCTTATTTAAAGGAGAGAAAGCGAATACAACTTTGTGATAGCTTTTGTCTAGAAAAGGAAACTATTACACTTCACAGATGCCACGCATTTTCTGACTGTTAGGGAGTGCTAAACATATTTGAGAATTTACACAACCATGATGTATCAAAATTTTAAGGAACTTTTTTGGAAAAAAAAGTCAGATTGATAAACAGAAATTCGCTAGTTGAGACGCCAACAGCGAACCAATGCACAATCCCATTTGATTTTGTGAAGAAAATTTACCAAATGATACTTAATAATTTAACTTTAATGGTAATTTGGAATATCCCAGGAATTATTGTTAAGTCCTGTGCCAGCAGCCATTTGGCTAGAGGGAACGAGAAGTGGCATAAGGAAGTTGTCTCTCACCCCTAAGCATTTGCTACCCACCTATTTTGTGTCATTTTGGGAAACTGGATCAAGTAAACTTCTATTGATGGTCATTTTGCATATGCATTTGGCTCAAGCAAATCGGGTGCATATGAGAAATTAGAATCGCTCACCAAGAGGATTGTAAATTATATGTGATAGAACATATTGGTTCTTCTTAAATCCTTCTATGGTACTAAGTTAGTTTGAGTAAAGTTATCATACTTGTACATATCATGAAAATAATCGAATCGAATAGTAAGAATCGATAAAATACCTAAAATTATTACTTGTGTCACACACTTTGATAGATTTTATAAACAAATATTATAAGGTAACAATTTGAGCAAGGATATGATCTTCGAAGAAAAATCTTAATTTCAAGTGAGTGTGGTGATCTCAATGCATAAGAAGATATGATTTCGGATTGTGCTTTTATTTTTGAAAAAAAGACTACATGCGAATATGAATCACAAATTACTTAGAGATCATAGGGGAAAATATTTAAAGTAATTATCAGTTTGAAAAAAAACATATCATTATAGCCTGGAGTAAAAATTTAAAGCTTAAGAAAAAATGATGGAATAAAAACAAAACAATATGGAGACCTTGGACATTGGAGGAGAAGCGAAGCGAAGGTAAATGATGAAATCAATCCACACATTCATCACCTTTTGTCCGTCCTCAAGTGAGGTTTCTCTTGAGATTATACGTGCAAACCTTTCAAGTAGGAGAGGATAGAATGAAAAAAATTGATATCGGAGACTCTAAACGTCCGTGATGGACGTCCATGTGAAAGTAATAAATTCATAAAGTGGCCAAAAGAACATCAATCGGATACACATAATGCAATGCATGTCTAGTGCTGGCTATTTGTGCGAAGAAGAAAGCACCATTTTCTTGCAATGGGGAGAGATCCATTACAGGCATGATGGCAGTACTTAAGGAAAGATTAAATACTCATATAGGGAAGCATTAGCTTTAAGCGGGCCTTCTCATCATCTGAATTTTGACGTGCCCAAGGTCAAGGCTTTTACTTTTCGTTGTCTTATAATTTTGTTCTTTTGGTGTTTCTCGTGAATAATTTACTTTATGTTATATATTTATATGAGGTTAATACCATGAAAAACCCCAAATCAGTATACATGTGACAAATTTACCCCAAAATAATTTTTGGATCACCAAAAAACCCAAACCGTACACCTGTGGCAAATGTACCTCAAAGGTCGTGTGCGGGTCATTGGCACTTGAACTCGGGTCTTTAGTTAATGAAACGTTCGTTCTTATAAAAATATCTTTTTAAATCAAATTTTTAATTAGTTTTCTTTTTCTTTTTTTTCTTTCTTTTTCTTTTACCTTCTTTCTCGGCCAGTCACCGACCACGGCAACGGCCGGCAACCGGCCACAAGCGAGGGACAAGCTTTCCAAAGCTCGGTGAGGCTCGAGATTGCCAAATTATGGCAAGACGAGCCTTACCAACCTTGGGCAAGGCTCCACCTCGCCAAATCCAACGAGATCAAGCTCATCAAAGGTCGTTAGAGCTCGAGTTTGGAGGAGCGAAGCGAAGCGATGCAACGGGGTTTTGTGCATAGAGCCAATTGTCTTCTAGTTCCTCTTCGAGATCCTGTAGATTCGGAGGGAAGAAGAAATGAGGAGTCATTGTTGCGTGTCAGAGGAGAATGGAGAGATTGTTCCTAAGATGTATACAAATCTAACACTAGATCTACGAGCTCGATGCCTCGCCGGCCTCAGGTGATCTCAACCTTGCTGGCTTTGGGCAAGCTCATCCTTCGCATGTGGCCAATCACCGGTCGTTGGCATGGCTGGCAACCGGCCGAGGAAGAAGGAAAAAAAGAAAAAAATTAAATATAAAAAGATCAATTTTTTTTTATTTCGATATAATAGCTGGACGAGTTTGTTCAGGTTAAAAAATACAACAAGAGTTCATAAAGCAATCCCCTAACTGTGACACCGCCTTGCTTGGGCCACCAAATGAATTTAGAATTAATTCGTAGAATTTATTTTTCACCAAAAAAAAATCGGTGGTTGGTGGATGGAATTAGGAAAACTCCAAATAAATCTTCATCTCAATTTTATTTATTTAGGCTAAAAGAAACGAGACTTCAGAAAGAGAGAGCGATCGATCCCCTAGAAAACATTGACTTCTTCCTGGTTTAAGAAAATCGACACCAACGTCATTCTAGTACACATTTGTAGTCCAGTTAATGGAGGAAGAGGTTTGTACACATGCGTACCTTATCCTTTGCCGGCCTTGGCAGACATCATTAAAGAATGATTGCTAAGCTAAAACGTATTTTACATCTACGAGATTCCTAAGCAAATGAACTCGGAGAGGTATATACGAATAATCACGTCGGGATATTCGAGACCAAAAGTCAAACGCCATATACTTCCTTTTAAAGAAAAGTTAATGCCATATCAAATAGTTTTCCAATTCCATTAGCTCCTTCACTCGCACGATTGACCCTTACCTCTAAATATTGTTGTTTCCGAGAGGAAAGTGAATTAATGTTTGCATGCATTTGAGAGGTAACTCTTTTGGGCTGCATGACACTTGGAATTTTATCATGAACTATGTTTGAATTGACTGCTCATGAAAATTAAGTAACATAGATATAAGAGCATTTAATCATCTTTTCGTTTTTGACATAAGATTAGGTAGGCCAAATCTACTCGCCCGCTCCAACATAATAGTAACATGTAACTATTGACAAGACTCTTCGTGTTAAATATGGGGGAGACGAAAGTGGGTGTAGAATATTGACTGTACTATTCCCTAAAGTCAATAACATAGAGATAGAAAATCAAGTGGAGACAAGAGAGAAAAAGTCTAGCACGTAAAGGATGGGAAGGATTCAGAGAATTGTATCTCTTCGATGAGAATTGTTTGTGGAAGTGAAGTGAGTTTAATAGGACTGAACAGCATAACAAGGCATTGATTTGCTTGCTGCTATATTCGTGGATCTGATCCGGCGTATAATTAACCAGTGGTATCCCGCTGTCCATGTACTTAATGCGGAAGAAAATCTATTCATAAGAACAATGATAGGTACATGCAGGAAGAACTCTCGACAAGATGACTTAATAAACGATGTAACAAAAAATATGTACAAATATACACACAAACGAGCCGGTACTCGCTGACAACTGCCACACACGACCCGGTATTTGGAAGGCTAGGTTTACCGACAGGAAGCTCCGATCGATTGCAGCACTGTCCACACGTCTGACCGGAGATCCGGCCTATTCCTTCTGCTTATCTCGCAGCACCTCAAAGCCAAATGAGTCAACTCCTTGGCCAGCATATAGGGCCACTCTCCAGCCAAAGGATCCAAGATGGCCTTCAAAGTCCCTGCATTGATTGCCTTTTGCACTTCGTTCACTAGTCCTAGAACGGGCCTCCTAGTCAATAGCTCCAGCAGTATAATCCCGAAAGAATAAACATCAAACTTTGTCGTAAGCTCTCGCGTGACGAGGAATTCGGGGTCCAAGTACCCGAGTGTCCCTTTCAGGTCAGTCGGGTACAGGACTGTGGTGTCGTTGCTTGACCGCTCGCCACGCGACAGCAGTCGGCAGATGCCAAAATCGCTGAGCTTACACACGAGGTGCGCATCAAGTAAGATGTTCCCCGGTTTGACGTCTCCGTGGACGATGCTGTGAGGCTTGCAAGAGTGGAGGAAGGCTAGGACGGAGCAGAGCTCCATAGCGATGCGTATCCGGGCTCGCCACGACAGTTGCTTCGCTCTGTTGCTGTTGTGGAGCCAGTCTTCGAGGCTTCCATTGGGAAAATATTCGTAAACAAGAGTCCAGGGCTCCGGACAAGCGCCTATGAGCGTGATGAGATTAGGATGCCTCACCTTGCTCAACACATCCACCTGTGATACATTCAATCAAGAATTCGATGATCAGCAATGATATTTTCGACCGATGTGACTAATGTACCCTTACTGTGAATTCGCAATGATATTACTGTGAAAAGAAAAATTTATGTTGTTACAAACCGACTCATTACATCTTCGTACCATTCTTAATTTTGTTTTAAAGAAAACATGAAAATTAGTAGAGGATATTAAAGAATTCTTACTTCCTGTTGAAATTGTTGTGAATCCTGCATGCTATGAAATTTCATCATCTTTATAGCTACCGGCGTAAGTCGAAGGAAACCTCTATACACGATCCCGGAAGCGCCTTCTCCAATCTTCAAGGACGGCTCAAAGTTCCGCACAGCTTCCTTGATTTCGGTCATAGAGAACTCAGAGAAGTACCTTGTGCCCGAGGAATCTCCTTGTCTTCTGCTCACCTCCTCGGCCTTTTGGAGCGCGTTGTCGAGGTCGATCTGCAACAGCTCTCGCTCTTGTCTATAAGTCCTCAACATTTCCTCGGTCATGATGATTTTCATCTCCAACTCTTTTCTGCTCTGGTCGGTCTCAACGAATTGGTTCTCAAGTTGAGATTTCTGATCCTGGGCAATGTGGAGTTCTTCCATCACTTTGTCTAGCTGATTCTTGACCTTCTCAAGTTCTTCCTCCAACTTCTCAGCATATAATCTCTGTAGATACTTCATCTGAAAATTTACCCATAATACTACATTCAATAGATCATATTTTTTTTTATTCCACAAGTCAATAAATCACCTCTCATCTTCATGTAAATTGTGTCATACATGCTATTTATGTGATGTATTGGAATAAAAATGTTCCATTTTTATTCATACCCTGTTCCAAGGAGTTGGGGATGGTCCTCAACAATCAGACTTGAGTAAAAATGTTCCATTTTTAAGATGAGCAGTTTACATAAATCAGTGCGTCTAGGTCGATATCGATATATAGCAAACTCGTCCAGATATTATATCGAAGTTTTACCTTCCTGGGATCCTTTTGCCTATCTTCGATGATATCTACTTCTCGCCCATCGTTTTCATTCACACCCTGTTCCAATTAGCTAAACTTTTCAATATCGCTTTCAATGACTCAGAATAAGATATTCTTAGCTATAATACTGGACAAGCGAAGCTAGAGACATGACCTCCCGGCTAGAGAACATGAAAATGATTATCCATTGTCATATTTTGCACATACCAGAGTGTTGGTAAGTGATGAACGGCCTGTATGATAGACCGACTGATTCCACTGCGGACAATGGAAAAGACTCGTTGAAAACGATTCACGTTCTTGGAAAATGTCTTGCCTCTCCGGCATGCTCACCGCACTAGGCTGCACTGAAGGAGTGCTCTCTGGGGAAGGAGGAGAAGCTATCGGCATCGTTGCACGTCGATCCGAGAACGCTCTTTTCAGAATGTCTTGAAATGGATTGCTCAACTTCGCCGTAGCACTCCTCTGCAGTGTGGCGGATTGTGATTTCAAGAGAACTGACTTTCCGGCTCCAGGGGTCGGAGTCGTCGGCAATGGTGCAACGGATTGAACCTCCCGAGCTTCCCTGATTTGACAAAGAATCAAATCAACTTCATGGTGAAGCCGAAGTTGCCCTCATAAACGTTCCTACCTGTACTCAATTTCGTTCAAAATTTTGGTGTACTGTGTTATGAGCCAACTAGACATTAACGGATCTAGGAATACAGGTAGTTGCCATCGGCCCCCAGCTCAAAATTTGCCAAGCATTTAGCTATATCAGTCAAAGAAAGAAAATAAAACAGAAAACATTAAAAAAAAAATTGTCTAAGCCTCATCCCAACATAAAATTTCTAGGTCTCCTATCCATTCAACTATGGCAACAAGATTTATCAGCTGATTTTTTCTTTCGCATCGGATATTTGATGTAAAACTTGTTTTCACTAACATCCTCACATGCGCATCTGAATAATTTCGAAGAAGACAGATTTGAAAGTAAAAGAGTCGGAGGATGACCTTGTGAGAATGAGGTGCCCATCGCAGATAAACCTAATTTGACAAGAAATGTCCGCTTCATTGCGAACGAAGATGGCTTTCCTGGACTTGAGTTCTGTCATCCTCCTGCCAATTAGAAACCAGAGAAGACAGTCAGTTAATTTGGTGTAAATGGAAATAATACCAAACGTAAACGGTAGGCACAACACGAGATTTTTAGATTCTCAAAACGATACGTCACCAATTTTGTATCTTTTTTTTTTCACTCTCTAGGAAAAGAAGACAATTCCTAATATATGATGTTTAGTGATGGACTCCAGGCGAACTAGGACTTTGCGTTTGAGAAGCGCTATCAAGTTTTCCTCGAAGATCAGACATGTCCAACACATCTTAAAGGATTAATAAAAGAAATAAGCAACTGGTGTAATTTCCCATTGATAATTCAAACAAACATTTCCTTTTAGTCATGAAGAGGATCAATTCGGAATGAACAAGCCCACGGCCCATGTGGGGCTGTCTTCTTGTTCTTGTACATACTTGAAATAGCGTCTGTCCTCCGCTGCACCCATTACAAGCTTTCTTATCCCATGCAAACGTATGAGCTCCACAATTCCCTTTTCAGCGCTGTCCGATTCTATATACTCTTTCTCTGCTCGTACCTATTAACCAATAAATCAATCAATTTGCTTAATTATTATCTCTCATCTCTAAATGAAGAAGCATATAGAAAATCATGTAAACTTGTGGCACGCGAGAACCATATATTCCAAGGGTCAACAATGATTAATATGTTTTGCGATTCACTGGCACTTCAAGAAGAAGAAGAAAAAAGTAAATATACCCCCATTTCTTTACAAACAAGGAGGCTGTTATCCAAGATTTTATGCATGTTTATCCTCTCGTTTTCTCTGTGTCCTCTCAACACTATCTCGTTCACCGAGCTCGCAGGGATTCCGGCACCTAGACCTCCTGCAAACCAAAGGCAAATTAACAGCACAATTATTTGAATATGTTCCAAGAAAGAAAGCCGCCAAAAGAATGAAAATCGGCAATAGTATAACAAGTAAAAGCAACAGGATGTCCAATATGGTCCGGCATAGCGAAACCCTCAAAGGGAACTTTGATTTATCTGCATAACGATTGTCCATGAATGGAAGATAATATGCAAACGAAAAAGAGAAAAAAACGTTGACTTACCCATGGGGATCCTCTGCGAAGGAACTAGAACGTGAACGATGCAGATCTTTACGTTGCCTCCTGATTGATGCACCGTCCAAACAAGCTTCGCTCTGTTCTCTCTCGAATCCTTCCCGACCGCAACGTAAACCTTATCCTCGAACACTGGCGTCGCCGGTTCGGATGCAAACCCACGAACGTTTGGCACGATCGCCGGGACTCTGAATTCGGGAAATCCAACCATACGATCAAGCACGGCCATGTCAACCCTGTTGCGTATGGCGCGAAGACCAATTCTAACAAAAGATGGCAAGTGTAGAATCCTTCTTGGGAGCGTCTGTAATGGAGATGGCTAGCTAGAGAGAGAAGACAAGAAGGAGAGAGAAACAGAATGCGACATGGGAATTCTCCGAGGAACGAAGATGAAGTGAATGAAGTGGGGGAGTCTCTCGAACGAGGTTTCGTGTTGTGGTCGCAGTTGGGGGGGTCGGGTTATAAAGGGATGGCCTGTCCTAAAGCTGAAGTAGCCGAACAGTACACGCCATGAGACCAACGAAAAGTCTCCTTTTAATGGTTAATGAGCGAGCAATTTTCCGGCGGGCACCACCAAGTAAGGTTCCTAAATATTATATATGATCACTCCTGTATTAAGTTTAAATATTCTTCCACTAATTAAATTTGCAAGCGGGTTTTTTTTGGAGTAAAAAGAAAATTCTTATATTCATAATAAACGGAATCCTATCGAGTTAGCTGAATCATTAACAAGGAAACTATCAACAGACATAATGAAATAGAGAGTAAAAAAAATCGAGACACAAGGTTTTTATCCATATTCACTCTTAAATTAAAGTTACGTCTAGTTGAGCTTGAGCACAATATGAACCACGCCCTAACAACATAGAGTGAGATCTCCCATAACTAGACCTGATATGTAAGCAAAAAAATCACAAGTCATAGAGCCTAAAAAGGAATCGAAAAATGTGTTATCAAATAGTTGCAGCATGTGTTATCAATAAGAGTTTCGAGATTTAGAAATTAAAATATCGATTTTCTCATTTACGTTAGTAGTTAGATCACTTTTGCTGAAAATGGTTGACTTCTTTACATTAGTGATACAAATATAACATAATATCTCATACGATTACTCTAATTTTCCCTTGAGCTTGAGCATCCCGGAACAAAGCCTGTAGTCGTTTAGCCGACTACTCCTGTTAGGGAGGAGCTTTCTAAATGCTACTATTAAGGTTGCCATTTTGGACATTTCAATACACTCTTATAATCTGGACACAACTAATGAAAGATTTGTGATTAACTCACTCGAGGTATTATTTATTTTGGCCCATCGCTTTGTCCTTTGGCTTACAGTTGGCCACTTTCCAAAGAGGCCACCAATTCTGATAGCGCTCTCACTGAGCACGCTTAACATCAGAGTCTAATGCTAGGCGTTGCTGTTATGTCAAATGGCATCTTTTATAAGTTAATTTTAGCTTTACATATACATATATATTCCAAGAACACTCTTCACTATATGATGCGCAATTCAATTCATTCTGCCTCATTCGCCTTCTTAGAAACCTATTATAGGAGCCGCTCTTTGCCCATACCTTCTAGCCTCGACGAACACTCCCCGGACCGGGTCATTACAAGATCTCCGCGTCTCCATCCATCAATGGATTGAAAATTCTCATGAGATACATTTATTTGTTTTTGCCTAAGGAGAGAAGCTTTATAAAGTTTTTCAAAAATAAAAATCCACGTACATAGCACCTGTCATTGAAATCGATTGACGTGATAAGAGAAAAATATTTTTATCACGTGGCATTCAATCGCTCGTCCAACGTCTCATCCAGCTTTTAGCATCAACTTCCATAATCCAAACAAAGAAATTTGGCCTCATCTTATATAGTTCTATTTGCCCAACCAAATGTCTGGTGAAAATTAAGAAATTGGCCTCATCTTCTTGGCTTTCTGCCTCTGCGAAACGATCCATTTGGAAGAAGTCAACGGAGAAGTCAGATGAATGTTAAAACTATCCTACTTTTTTTATTATAATATTGGCAATTAAGATTATTTTAAGTTTTTCAGTGATTATGAAAAAATTGCACCCAAAAGCTACACTTGGACATTTATATCTTAAAAGGTTTTACATACCTTGTGAGCTGCAAAATCTACAAATATATATATGCAAATTGATCTCGTGATATCACGTTACTACATCATTAATATATATAGTAACTTTCGTCCCTTTTTTTTTAAATTGTTTTCTCCCAAAGTAGATTCCCTTCACTTTTCTACTAAGTAAGGTTCTGGTCCATGAGTTCTAGAAGTCCAGGTGATGCGTGGTGTGGCATTGAGCCTGCTTGGATTATTCCTTATTTCAATGCAGAGAAGCATCATGGAAATGGATCTCTCTCTCTCCCTCCCTCCCTCCTCGAAACTTGCTGGTTGATCGAAGGGCAAGCTTGAAGACCAAGTTTGAAGTTTTCAATCTTGACTCTTGTCCACGAGACGATGCAGTATAATAATATTCCATTTGCCTGAAGGAGAAGGGAAAAGATGTCTGCCTGCCCAAGTAACAACAATGGCACTCGCCATCACAGAACGATCTCAAGGAACAGAAATCCGATGATGCCTCCTCCCCCGATTGGTTCAATCTCAGCCGTCCTTGACTTTTCTTCCCTTGGCCCTTCGCTGTTTGGTGGGCCCACGTGTGCAGTTGCGGGTCCCACCATGGCTTCCAGCTCAGACAGAGGCACACCCTTTGGCTGGCCGATGATCCTCCCCTCTCCTTCCTAGGGGATGACGGTCTTGGTCAATCTGTACGGGCGCAGAGGTAGAAGACATAGCTTCTGTCAAAGATTGCTTTTTATGAAATCGAATGGTGAATTTCCCTTTTATCCAACCGAACGAGATTCCCTGTTTTCGATCATAGTATTTAACCTCCGATAAGTACTAATACCTTGAGCATTCCCCCTTTTTTCATTACCGGTGTTTAGCCCCGTACGGTTATGGCTCTATCACTAGTTATGCTTTCGAGCCAATTCTGTTTCATTACACACGGCAGATCAACTGGAAATGTAATATAGATGATGATTTGTCTAATGAAAGATGGTTAACGAGGTTGCATTGAGAATCAACAAGTTCGGAAACAAATAACACGTCATCTATGTCAAAAATTCTACCGATAGATTTTAGAAATGATTATTCAAATATTTATGGCTTGACAAAAATGAGGACATGAATCTAGTGAATATCGCAAGCACAACTTACTAGCTATCGCGTAGAAATGAAATTCATCCATCATTTCATTGGCACCCAACTCGTTGAATGTTACGATAATGCCATCAATTTTGAATTCAAGAGACATCGATTTCATGGACCAACCATGGCAAAGAATATACAATTAATAACTTCGTTGAAATCTACGGTTCCAGCTAAGAAATACCACGGCTTTCATCCTAGAGTTTCCTAGTGACTAAAAGATTGTGTTTTTTACCCTCCCATTTTTAGTTGGTTTTGTCCGAAAAAACGACAATCGAATTAAGGCTTTCTGACCCAAAAAAAAAATTAAGGCTTCATTTGTTTCACGAAAAATAAATGATTCGAAAAATATTTTCCTAAAAGTGATGGCATGTATCATTTAAAATAATTAATCGATGAAAAATTGTTATCATTACCGATAACAATTTATATCTAAATATTTTGGTAAACGATGAAAATATTTTTCATTTATTCACTTGTACAAGCCATACAAGCGATCTTTTCTAAGAAAATATATATACAAATCATTCATTTTTTGCGAAACAAACAGAGCTTAAATGCTAAGAAAACTTCCTTGCTTCAAAACGGAGCCTATAATCTCTTAAGGTTCCATTTGGAAAGCAAAGAATTATGACTTCAACTTCTTTCGTCATTTAGCAACGTGTCGGCAGATAATCGAGCTTAGTAAAAAACACTAGTTTGGTACCAAGAGCATTTTATTATTAGGGTTAGAATTTTGAACCCAACTGAATAGGATCTAACTTCTGTGAACCTTCGTTGGCGTTGACTTTTTCCTTAGTTCATGTCATCAGGTAGAATCGACAACGATGTCATTCCAATACACGGGTGTAGTCTTGTTCAAATCAAGTGGAGGCAAAAAGGTTGGTAGACATGCACGAGAGGTATATACGAATAATCACGTGGGAATATTCGAGACCAAAAGTCAAACCCCATTGCAAGTAGAAAAGGAACATTACATTATACTTCTTCTTCTTTCTTTTAAAAAGAAAAGGTTATGCCATATCGAGGATCGGCTATATACTAATAATCTATGGAGTCATGCTAGATCTTTCATCATAATTTTCTGATTCAATGAGATCTTTTACTTTTACTCGCCACATTTTCACCTATACGGCGTCGCTTCTAGCTTAATCGATGAAGTGATGAGAAAGAGATGATATCTTCGTCCCTTTGCCCGATCAATTCTTACCTCTACATGTTGGTGTTTTTTAGAGGACAGTGAATTATTGTTTGCATGTGTTCGAGAGGCAACTCTTTGGGCTGCATGGACACTATAATTTCATCATGGCCTATGTTTGAATTGGCCGGTCATGGGCATCAATTAATATAAGATAAGAAAAAAAAAATTTGTGGATGAAGAATTTTAGCTGTAATATTCCCTAAAGTCAAGAACATAAATATCGGGATTTGAGTGGAAACAAAAAAGAGAAACTCGCGCGTAAAGGATAGGAAAGATTCATATCTTAGGCTGTGTTCGTTTCCGAAAAAATATTCTCCCGGAAAATATTTTCCGGGTTTTCTGGTGTTCGGGGGGCGGAAAACGTTTTCCGTGGGAAAACATTTTCCTTCCCCCCTCACAAAATAGCCTAAGTCTATGAAAAATGACTTCCGCTTCTTCAAAACCGGAAATCATTTTCCGTAGCTGCTGCTTCTTCTTCTTCTTCTTCACTATTTTTTTTTTCATTTTTTTCGTTCTTCTCTTTCCTCAGCGCTGTGGCCGGCAACCGGCCAGTGGCAAGGCCCGAGCTCGCCGGCCTCAGGCGACCTCGGCCTCGCCGCTGTCTGGCGACGTCGGGCGAGTCTCGAGCCTCGCCCAGGTGGGCAGATCCGGCGAGGCCGAGCTCGCCCGAGGTCGGCGAGCTCCAACCTCACCAGATCCGGCGACCTCGGGCGAGGCTCGAGCCTCGCCCGAGGTCGCCAGCCATCGGCGGGGCTCCGGCAACCTCGGGCGAGGCTCGAGGTCGCCGGATCTGCTGATGCTTTGATTGTTTTGTTTTCTGGTGTTGCTGTTTGTGGGTTCTTCTTCTTCTTGTTCGTGGGCGAGGCTCCTTGGGCTGCTTGATCGCCAGCGGCGACTTGGGCCTCGCTAGATCCGGCGACCTCAAGCCTTGCCCGAGGTCGCCAGACATCGGCGAGGCTCCGGCGACCTCGGGTGAGGCTCGAGCCTCGCCCAGGTCGCCGGATCTGGCGAGG